AGGGAGAATTAACTGGCTCAGTTCAAGAACATGAGCCTTTTCTCCCCCCTGCTCTCCCCTCCTCCCTGGGACAAGCCCTGGGTGGCCACGGGCTTAGCCACAGCGGAGAGCCACTGGAAAAGCAGGGCTGAGTTCCTGCACCCTCCACAGCACAGAAAATACACAGGAAGTCAGAAACTGGCCTCCACAGGAGGAGTGGAGGGCAAAGAAATGGGGTGGCGGGAGCCCGCTCACAGCCGAGGACCAGGTAAGAGGGAATAGTCTTCACCACCTCGTGTCTGTCCACCGGGCACGTCCCTGATGGCTCATGAGTGCTCCGAGTGGTGGCGCCAACTGCCTGGGTTCACACCCTGACTCCAGCGTGCCTGGCGGTGGCCTTTGGGCAGGTGGCTTGACTTCTGCCTGCCTCCATTTCCTCATCTGTAAACTGAGTGTAAGGACAGCAGTGACCTCCAAGGGGTCTGGGGATAAATGAGTGACAGTATATAAAGAGCACAGGACGGTGCCCAGCACACAGAAAGCACTCTACACGTTTTAGCTACAATCATTATTATAAGAACCTCATTATCCTCATTTACCAATGAGGAAGCAGACCCAGAGGAGTTAACTTCTTGCCCAGAGTCACTCAGCTAATTACTGACCAAGTCGGAATTTAACCTCGGTCTGTGTGACTTCCCAGAGCCCATGCGTTTAGCTTCATGAGTCACCGTCGGAGTTCCGGAAGTTTTGCAGCTGGGCCCGCCCTGGCTCATCTGATGCTAGAGTTCTCACACATCCCAAAGGGGTGTCGCTGGACGAAGGGTCTTCCACTCTGACGCCAGGGCCTCGCCAAGGGTCATCGTGTCTTCAGCGACATTCAGTACAGTGCCCCGGTTACAACTGGCTGCCCTGTACATAAGCAGGCAGAGAGATCTAGAAATCAGTGCTTCCCAACTTCTAGCATCTGATGATTGAAAAAATGTGCAATGATCTTACATTTTTAAAAAGCAATTTCAAGTTCAGAAGCAGCTCTATTTTTAGATTTGCCTTTCTTCTAATTTGATTAGAGATGTAACATGAGCAGGTCTAAAGAGTTAGACGTTACAGAAATAAAGTGCTGTCTCGCAGAGAACGACTGGAACTTATTATTATTTATTGGTAGTATCAGAAACATTATTCAGTAAATCTGTATTTTAATAGTCACAGCAGTGCCACGCATTTGGAAATTGTAGCACACATTACGTGTAAGACATTCGTTATAAGATGCTTTATGAGAAAAAATGCTCAGTGAAAATGGGGCTTTGCAGACACCTTGAAATAACTCAGAAGCCCTCAGGAGTGACTCGTCTAGACATTTTGGAACCAACACAGAAATGTATTTCGAACTGGGAGTGAGCTCCTTCTGGTCCTGATGGGTAAGGTAAGCCAGGGCGGAGGGCGCCACGTCTCAGGCTCCAGAGCACAGCTGGGAAGCTGAGCACCTCCCGCACCATGGCCCTCCAGGAGGGACCCAGGGTCCCGGAGCCCCAGCTCCCCGGCCGAGCATGCACAGATTCAGCCACCACCGAAGCCAGCTCTACCCAGCAGAGCCGCTGAGAGCTGCCTGCTCAGGACGGGTAGGATGGTGCCACTCCCCTTCCCAGGCGCTAAGATCCATCTCCCGGGTGCCCTGGGGTACACCTGCCTCCCGTGACTTCATCTCCTGATAGCCAAGGGAAGAGAGACCCAGGGAGAGCATCTCCAGCCTAGGGAATGAGTTCTCCATGCAAAGCATCGTGGCCTTGGATGGGTCCTGTCCTGTCTCCAGACCTGGGTCTGCTCATCCGTGCATTGAAGGATGGGGTTACATGAACCACGAGGTCCCCTTCAGTCACCAAGTTCTTGGTAGTTCGAGGCTGGTCCTGCCTCACCAGCAGTCCGAAGACGCCCATGTCCTCAGGTTTGTGCTGACTGGCATTTGCTGCAGAGAAGGTTAGAGAATGTTAGTACATAAAACGCTGCCAGTTCGTACACTGGCTCCGTGAAATCCTTCTGTTATTTGGCCCTGAGACAACGCCACCTGAAGGAGGTGCCACTGTAGGCTGGCCAGCTGCATCCCCGGACCACTGTGAGTGACAGAGCTGGGCCTGTGGAGGGACCTGGGCCCTGTTTCGCCGTGTGCCCCACACAGGTGGCAAGCCTCAGGCTTCCCCAGGTGCCCCCACATGGAGACTTTGTCTCCCCTTCTGATGAGAAAATACACTGCAAGCGTGTGTGCGATAACCTCCTCCCTCTACCTGTGGCTGCCAGGTCTGCCCTGGCCGGGGAGGGGCCTGTCCACACGGGCCACCCCTGCCAGGAGACACGTGGAGGTGGTGCCACCGTGGACTCTGCTGAGCCTGCTGCCCGAGTAGAAGGCAGCGCCCTGCGGTGGGTGAGACCATTCCGGAGTCAGACTGCTCAGATTCAGACTGCCGGCTCCACTTCCTGGCTGTGCAACCTCGCATACGTCACTTAATGTCTCTGTGCTTCAGTTCCCTCTTCTCCAAAATGGAAGTAACACCACTTGGGCTTTTGAGGGAGTCACACGCGGCTGTGCAGGTAAAGCTCTCAGCAGAGTGCTTGTTACTGTCGTCATCGTTATCAGAGCCATTATTCCTCCTGGAGGTTCACGCACACCCCTGGGCCACCCTGGGGGGTGGAGCGGAGACCTGGCCTCGGCACTGCCTCCCTCCCCCGGCAGTTCCAGGCAGGCCGTTGCCAGGCCAGGGCAGCCCCGAGCCTCCTGGGTAAGTACATACAAACAAGGTCTTCCTCCCAGGGGGGCCGTTGCAGCTAAGAATGTGGCAGTGGTTTGCCAGGCAGGGGCACTCATGACATCCTGGGCCCCGTGTGGCAGCCTGAACGCCCTGCAGCTTCTGGTGTCAAGGGGCTCACTGTGGACTTTGGGGCTCACAGGGTTAGGAAAGATCAGGCTGGGGGCAGGGGAGGAGGCTTTCGTTCATTCACCATTCACTACCCGCTTTGCGTGAGGCCTTGGCCGTAGGTAGGCATCTCTTCCTCCACCAAAACGCGAGCTCCTCCAGCCACGGGAGTCTGCTGGCCCTAGAAGACCCACACAGAATCCGGAGGGAAGGAGCTCTGCCGGAGGCCATCCCGGGTGGGGAAAGAGGGACTTGGAGATAAGAGAGTAAACGCTGCCTTCAGCAGAGGGCGAGGGAGTATCTCGGAAATCGTCAGATGATAAGAAATGCTTCGGAAGCCCTGGCGTGGATCGCTTTGTTGACCGCTGTAGCGGTCGCAGGCTGCTGAGCACCTGAACGTGGCCGGTCTGAACTGAGACGCGCCGTAAGCGTGAAACACACGCTGGGTTTCCAAGGACACAAAAAAGAATATAAGTTATCTTGTTAGTAATATTTATATTGACTATTGTATTGATTACATGTTGAAATGCTCATTCGGGATATATTGGGTTAATTAAAACACCATTAAAATTAATTCTGCCAGTTTCTTTTTCCTTTTTAATTTAAAACCAGAAAATGTAAAATTATGTCTGTGGCTTGCATTGTATCTCTGTTGGACAGCAAGCTCGAGAGAGACTGATTGAGACATTGGCTGACAGCCTGAGTTTACCACCGTGGACTCCCCTGTCTGTGCTGGAGTTTCTCCATCTGTCTTAGGCTACCGAAGAATTTGGAAGTTTTGATATCCTCAGACGACACCAGGAACTTGCAGCCACGTGACTCCCGGGAAATCACAGTAGCCGCCCACCCAGAGGCTCAGCTCAAGGCTCTGTCACTGTGTCACATGCCCAGATCTCCCGGCCATCAGAGGATAGCTGTGCCCACTCTCGCCCCTGAGACGGGCACTGCGGGATCATCAAACCATATTAAATAGCAATTCCGCTTCGCAATTACAGAGCTCAGAATTGCGCCCTTTGGGAATTCACATCAAATGAGCTTCAGAGAGGCTGCAGGCGAATGGGGAAAGCACAGCCGTCAGTTCCTGATGCGAATGAATAATTGAGCAGCCTGGAAATGCCACGAAAGGACCATGCCATGCAGGTGGGCCACTGGACCACCTGGCCCAGGTCCTCGGGAGAGGTAGCCTGCAGCCTGCACCTGCCAGGGCACCTTTTGGCAAATACAGTGTGACGCATCGGAAGGCGCATCTGAGGTTTTCTACCATGCAGTCCCCCTCCCTGAAAGCCACAGCCTCTGCCGGGGAGCAGTGCTTTGGGCAGAGGCTAACTCGCAGTCCCCCGGTGGCACCCACCCTCCCCCAGGCTGCCTAGCGGGACTTTTCTGTGACTGGAGACCAGCAAGGCTTCTGTCCTTGGAAGCCAGGGGGCTTCCCGTGCCCACTGGAGCAAAGTGTGTGCTGAACATCCTCAGTGTCTCACAGGCAGAGGCTCTGCTGCCTATTCCCCAGCTCAAAAGAGCGTGCTACGTCTCAGAGGCAGCCGTCAAGGCTTCTGTGCTAAGTGCTCTGGGACAGGGCGAGATGACAAGCCACCATCCCTGTCCCCATTCTTTGGTTGCTCGGCAAAGGGCCTGTCGAATGTCAAGCGCTGTTACCGGGGCCCTCCCTGTGCTGTCTGGACCTGCTAGTTTCGCTTTGTTGACAAAGGGTCTGAATGTGACGTCCTGAATCTGGAAGGGGCCAGCTCAGTGATGCTGGAGGGGCTTTCTCCACCTGCACAAGCCAGGATTGCGCTGGAGAAAGAAAAGGGAAGAGAGGGGGAGCCCAGAAGACTGGTCTTTCTCCCCCAAATGTGGTTACCATATCTCCATCCAAGCAGCAAGCTCTAAACTCCAACAAAAAAGGGAGAGAGAAGCCCCACTTCCAACCCGAGCTGGGCCAGGCGAGGCTGGTGGGAGCAGGCGAGGGCGTGTGCCGTGGCCTCCAGCCCGACCGCCGGTCCCCGGGGCAGTGGGGCGACTGTGTGTGATTCAGAGCGTGTGGCCTTGGGTGATGCCGTGGCTTGGTGGGCTTGGCTCTGGTGGGCTTCAACCGGCTCTCCCCCTTGGTCTTGCCCACAGCACCGAAAGAGCCCCAGTGACCCTGCACCTCGATGGGATTGTGCAGGTCCTGAACTGCCACCTCAGCGACATGGCCATCGGGATGATGACCAGGATTGCCGTTCTGAAGTGGCTCTACCACCTCTACATCAAGACTCCTCGGAAGGTGAGCCCCAGGCCCGTCACCTAGTAGGCCCTTCCAGGCCAGCGGCCTCTTCTGAGTCCACCTTGGTTCAAGGCCCTGCTCATGCTTGGTAGGGCTTCAGTCATTGCAGTTCTAGAGAAACCCTGGCCAGCAGAGGAGTGACAGGTGCTGGGAGGAACCCTTTGTGTCTCAGGGAGCAGAAGGTCCATTCAGACAGTGGGACACTGCATCGAGCGCAGTCCTGGGAGAGCTCACGGGTGCCCCTGCTTCTCTGCCTTGCAGATGTTCCGGCACACGGACAGCCTCTTCCCCATCCTACTGCAGACGTTATCGGATGAGTCCGATGAGGTAGGTCGCCAACACCAGCCTTCCCTACAGAACATGGGCTGCCCTGCCTCTCCTTTTGAATGACTTGGTGGGGCGGGAGGGAGTCTTATAACTCAGATGTGCTTGTTTTGTTGTTGTGCTCTTAAATCAACACCAAAAAAATGACCCTATTCTTCATACCTGGTAAGGTGCATCTTTCCTAGAGTACAGCTGTGCTCTTAGTTTTGGGAATAAGCATTCTGCATAGGCCCCTCTGGAGCACCTTGGGGCAGGGCGTCAGTGAGGACACGAGGCTGCAGGAGTTTGGGTGTCTTCTCTGCAAGGCCACAGAGGTTGGTGGGAACTTGGCTTCAGGGCCAGGCCGCCTGAGTGCAGCCAGCCTCGCTGCCCAGTCTTGAGCAAGACACTTAGCATCTCTGCGTCTGTTTGCTTCTCTGTTCGGTGGGGCACAACAGTACCTGGGGGTGTGAGATCACCATGATCCCTGTGAAATGCTAAGTGCTGTGCAGGGCACGAGCTGAGCACTCAGTCAGCGTTGCTTGTGTTGCTCATTTCAGCTGCACTGTTTTGACCTCTAGTTTGAAATTGATCCTTACGCTTTGCTTTGCTGGGGCCACCAAGAGCTACTGGCACGAAAGGAGAAGCTGTCCCAGATCCCAGGCAACAGGAGCAACCCGTCTAAGAGGACAAGAGTGCAGAGGCTGGCCTGGGGGCACGGGCACCCTGGGTCCTCCTGTCAGCAGAGGGAGGGTCTCCTCCAGCCGCGTACCTTTCCCCACTCCATTCTCAGCAGCGTACATACCGTGGAGTCAGGGCGGGGTGCTGCTTCTCCAGGGCTCCCCTGCCTGACCCCAGCCAAGAGGCAGCATTTGCAGCCAGGCATGCCCGCTTGCAAGGTTGGCACCTGTCCCCATCCATGCCAGCCCTGCAGGCTGTGTGGTGGATGCTGACAGTCTGAACTGAGACTTACGCCTCTTCCTCTTCTGGGCTCTGAGGCCGTGGGCTGCAGGCAGAGCGTCTCTGTGAGTCGGGGGCTCTCGAATCGACAGACCTGCCTACACTTTCCCGTGGCAGCGTGAGTGGACAAGGGCTGGCGGCCGGGGGGACAGGAGAGGGACGGTGCTCACAGCTCCCTGTGGAATGAGGCACCTTGATCTTCCCTGGGCCAGGGTCAGGTTCGTGTGGGGACGCAGGCAGCTGTCCTGCAGCCTGAATTTGCTTTCCTGAACCTGGGCTGCAGAGAGACACGGACAGGCAGGTGTCAGCCTCTAGGTCCCCTGAAGTTTTCTGCATTTCCAGAAAAATCCAAAACAGATGGTCTGTGAATGTGCCTTTGGCCTCTCCTGCCTCTTCCCCACCCCCCCACACACACTCTCTCCTCTCCCCCTGCACCACCCCTGCAGTGCGAGGCCCAGGTGGACGTGGCCCAGTTCTGCCTGTGTGTTGGGAGTGACTCACTGCACAGTCACGGCCCTCATTTCAATACAAAAAGGAGGAGAAGAACTTTGCTGATTGGTTCCTTTCCTAGGACTTCACTGGAAGCAGCTGAGTTTTCAGTCCTTTAAATTGAGTTGTTTAATCCCATCCAGCTTTCTTTGCCTGAAATTGGTTTTTGTGTGCGTGTGCATTTACGGGGAGCGGGCGGAGATGCAGTCCATTAAACAGCTCTGTTCAGGCTGCGCCTGTGGAAACTTGATTTGCTGAAGTGCCAAATGTTGTCAGGGCTTTGGGGCACATCTTGTGGGCCTCTGGTGGGGAGGAGATTAAAGCTGCTCTTGGGGACAGTTGTGGGGGTGCTGTAATAGGAGTGAAGAGCTCCTGCTTCCCCATCTCTCTAGAGGAGGGATTTGGGGACCCTGACAATCGGTGGTGAGTCCTGATTCTGCCACATCCTGCTGCTTCGCCAGAATCACATTCCTAAGTATCCCCTGCGCGATGTCTTTAGCGACCCTGAGGACGTGCTGTGTACTTGGCAATAGAAACAGGGCCATGAACAAGACAAAGCCCATTTTCTCCTGGAACTTCCTTTACAGAATATCTAGAAAATGCTCTCCGTTGGGATTTTTCAAATATTTTCAAACACAGCCCTGATCTCAAATTGGAGCTCCTGGGGTTCAAGACCATGAAAGCCTATTCAGTCACATAGGACCACAACCAGACTGGTGGGTCCCTTCCCTGGGAAGCCTGCAGGGTGGAATTTAACCTCAGCACTCCCTGCCATGGCTCGTACATACAGCTTGGGGAGCTCGAGGCACAGGTTATCTCAGATGACTCAGTTGTAGAAGTCACTACCATGTGAGGAACTGTGCGAGGCCCTTCATTTGTGGCACCTGTAGAAGCCCCACCACAGTTCTCTGGGGGAAGTTCTGTATTTCCATTTTGCAGTTCAGAACTAAGGTCCGGGGGGGTTAAGTAACTTGCACACAGGTAGGAGGTGGGGGGGCCCAGGCCCAAAGCCTTTAATCGTTACCCACCACGCCAGTGTCTCACCCACTGCAGGCCCAGCCGCCCACCTCAGCACCAGCTGGGAGGTGGGGAGCTTGTGTTCCGTTGTGTCGTCATCCCCATTCCCTCATGATTTCACCAGGAGAAGTTTTTCTGGCCTTTTTCTCTTGTTCCACAAGTTCTTGAGAAGAATTCTCAGTGTGGTGTGGAGAGGTGTATTTTGGAAACACTGCCCCTTCAACCCCAGATCCATTGTCCGCTTTTCTTGTTGATTTGTAGAAGCTCTTTGTATATTTGGGATAGTCAGTGTGTCATCTGTGTTGCAAATCTCTGTCTTTCCCTGGACGATCGGGCTAAGCCCACATACCCCTCCCTCATGCCAAGAGCCACTGGCCTCGGGGGGATGGCGTGTACTCAGGTGTTGATGATGCAAGAGCTGGCACAGGGCGGGGCAGAGCCTCAGAGACCTAACTCTGCCCCCAGGACCATGTGGTACAGTCCCATGGGCACACGGCCTCACTGGAGTGTCTGGTCTGCCGTCCTTCCTCAGTTCCACCCAAGTGACAGCTCGGCAGTCCACGCCCCGTGACACCCGCGATTGTGTCTGCCCTTCCATCATCCAGGATGTGCAGCTGTCTGCTCATTACCACCTGCTCCGTGCAGACACTGTCTGAAAATCCCTTTTGTCAGAAAGAATTCGCAGGTGTCAAATTTATATTCTTGGCACTGGAGTAGAAATCTTCCCATTAGCTAGAGAGCCAATGACTCATTTTTTAAGTGAAAATGTGACCCTGATTGCCGTAGCATGGGGTGCCGGGTGCACGCTCAGAGCATCCGGCCGGGTCCTCGTTCGGGAGGCGGGACAGCCGCCATGCTGCCTGAGTGAGCTCTGCCTACAAGAAGGCCATGCCCCCAGCTCCGAGCACCCCCAGGACAGGGGTCCTGTCCAGGTTCCTGAGGGGCTGGCCCGGGAGAGGCCTCGGATGAGTGCCCACTCCTAGGCACAGCTGCCTCCCAACCTGCATTTAAAGTTCTCAGGGTGGTCTCAAGGACATCGGTTCCCCCTGTGACATCCCGGACAGTTGGCCACCAGGCCCAGGCACTCCTTAGACCTGTGAAATGAGGCTCATGATGTCTACACCTGCCTCGTAGACTTGTTTAAAGAGAAAGTGCAAAGCAGCCACCCACATCTTGGCCATCGTAACGAGTTTGTTTATGGGGAAATTGGCCTTTTCACTGTGTTGAATCTCTCTCCGGAGCAGGGCATCGCATCATCTTGATGTCCTGCAGCAAAGCTCTAGGGTCTTTTAGGTAGCTCTTATTCACTCATTATGAAGTTTACTTTCAGCATTTTGTGTTTTTGTTGTGCTTTTGAGTGGCGTCCCTTTGTGGTAATTTCCTCTCCCCAGGAAGCAGCGGGGCCCGGCGGTTAAGAGCACAGGCTGTGGGGTCCAGCCCTGGCTCTGCCACCTTATGGCTGACTGACTTGAAGCAAGTGCTCTAGGCTCTCTGAGCCTCGGTTTCCTTATCTGTAAATGGAGGGTGATTATGGAACCTCACTTCTGAGTTTGCTGTGAGGTTTAAGTGAGATCACGCGTGCACGCTCAGCACAGAACTGGCCACATAAACCCACCCTAGTGGTAGCTCTTCCGATGCTGGAAATGATTTCTGTAACGGGCCTGGAGACACACATTGAGATCAGGGCCGTTGGCTCTGTGCCTGCCCAAAAGCCAGAACACAAGCTGCTCTCTGTCCTCTGTGTCTTCCTGTCTCTCTTTAGAGGCCTGAGGGCCACAGGGGTTGAGGGACTCAGGTTCCATCTCAAGGTCATAGAAAGCCGAGCGAGGACACAGCGGGCCGCAGGATGGGTGCCCCCTGGGCTCTTCTACCCCCCTCCCCTGCTCCCACCCTCAGCCTCCCCAGCAGCCCCGGGTCGGAGCAGCCCAGAGCCGCAGCGAGGCCGCATTCAGCACGTGCCTCGCTCATCAGAGCCCCATTGTCGGTGCCTTCGCAGCTGGCTGAGTCCAGGGAGGAAAGGAGAAATGGTGTCGTGGGCAGGGGACACCCTGCATCAGAGCCTCTGCAGCAAAACCTTTGCAACCCAGAAGGCACGCCCTGCTGGGCCCATCGCCGGCATGAATCGCGTGCTCCGCAGCGGGGCCTGCAGAGATGGCCTCCCCGGGGCCCCTCAGCGTCTCCGAGCTGCAGTGTCCTTAACACTTTAGGGAGGAGATTCTCGGCCCGGGAGCAGCCCCCTTCTTCCCCTCCCTTGGCTTCGAAGTAACTAGAGGAGAAATCGCTGCTGGGAGTTTATGGCTTACATGACTGGTGTGGATGCAGAAAACAGAATGGACTTTCTAGAAAATGTGCAAGGTAGCATTCTGAGGGCATTATTCATGGCAGCAGTGGAGTTTCTAGTTCAGGAGCCCACTAACTGCACGAAGAACGTGGGCAGCCATCAGCCCCGTGTGACGCAGCCTTGACTTAGGAGGGAAGGGACAGTGGAGGGGGGCTGAGGAGTGCTTTAGGGGCATCTGAAAGGGCTTTTTAAAAAGGTGCTTCAAGTACGCCATGTG